GTGTATCTGTCTCAGCAACATGATTCAGACTCCAGTTTTTGATACCAAGGCTGTTCCTTTAGCTTGCAGAGAAAGGCACTTCTAAAGGGCAAAATGTATAGAACTAGCCAATGAGAGACATTAGATGAACTGCATATTTTTAAATATCCACTTCCCTTTGGAATGGAAGTCGCTGAGTTGGATCTACACTAGGTACCCCAAAAGCATGAGATATGTCAAGACTTCCCTCTGTGGTTTAGCACTTTGCAACCTGCTGGACTTGTTCATCGTCTGTGTTACAACTACTAGCAGTTAAAGAACTTGCACCAAAGTGGAAAACTTAGATTCAATTAACTCAAGAAATCACAATAGCCGTATCTCCCACCTATCCAGGACATTCTACTAAAACCAGATTAGGGAACAGGGAGGAGGGAGGTACCCTCCTTTTGACCTATTAAAACTGAGTAGAAAAGAAAAATAAATAGAATGAGGAAACCAGCAATTCTGTGGAGAGCCTGAACATAATCTTCAGTGTGAAAGCAGGGGAGGACTTAAACCAAGGAAATAATTTGGACAAAAGTTATGACATTACCACTACTTTTTTTTTTTCTCCCTGCTGAAAATGATTACTTTGTGTTGAACTCAATGCATGCAGTGTGCATGACATTGCCTCTGTGAGCACCAAACTGATGGGACTCTACAGGGGACCTGGGGGCTATTTTAATTCTGAGCAGTGAAGCCTAGCTGAGAGGTAGTCATTGAGCTACCTGCACTGGGACAATTTGGTGTACACACTTACTTTGATGCTTTTCAGGTTGCCAAGGAGGCAATTCAGTTTCAAATCCTTCCAAACTGAAGAAGTGATCAGAGTATCTCTGTTTTTCTAAAATATCCTTTTTTGGTGCCCTAATATTTCCCATTTCAGATTTTAACTTTCAAAGTAGAAAAGAGATACATACTCCTAGAATCAATGGTAGAAGATAGAAAAAGAATTTATGTATCAATTCTAGTGTGGGGTTGGGGTGGGAGATGGAAAGACGAAGATATTTAGGCCTCAAGTTTTTCCCATGTTATAAAGACATCTTTTTTTCTTGTGTTACCATGACTTTAGTTTCCTGTCTTACAACTTCTGACTGTCAAGAACAAGGAGAATAGATATAGTAGTCTTTGTTGCATCTGTGAAAGGCAAAGGACAAAAAGTTTGTAGTTCAGAAGGGATTTCAGTGTGAGGAGTGCTGAAATTCATTTCTGTGTAACTATGAGTCATTGTGAGAAAGGGACCTTTATTCTCCTGTAATTTAGAGTGAGCTACCACTGTGAGACACATGAAAAATTACTCAGACCTCGTATCTTATTAAACTGAACTACTTTTGTTGCTCCTTGATTTTTAGAGCAGCTAGTTCTGTAAAAGTTACAAGTATTTATGTTCCCAGTGTAATAAAAGTACCCAGAATGCACAGCCATAAACCCTCATTGTCCTCTTCTCTAGTATAAAACAAGGTAACAGTCAGACAAATGTCAAACCAAGTGTGCAGCATCCTGTTTGCTAGACTTGCGCTTCACCAGGCTGCAAGGAGGGGATTACAAAGATGGGAAAGATTAGATGCAGGGCACATTCCTGTCCAATACACAGACTCTCAGCCTACAAATGACCATTTAAAAAGTAGTGCCTGTTGCAACAGGATAAGATGTAATGGTTTTAAACAAAAAGAAAGGAAGTTCAGACTAGATATAAGGAAGAAGTTTTTTATGATAAGGATGGTGAAACAATGGAGCAGGCTACCCAGAGAGGTGGTAGATGCCCCATTCCTGGAAACATTCAAAGTCAGGTTGGATGGGACTCTGGGCAACCTGATCTAGTTGAAGACGTCCCTACTCGTTGCAGGGATGTTGGACTAGATGACCTTTAAAAGTCTCTTCCAACCCAAAATATTCTACAATTCTAGTAGAAAAAGGAATTGGCCCCAGGCTGTCATTGACAACTATTCTCCAGCTGAGTATGCCATTGCATTAGTGTATGGAGACTATACGATATGTATACCATACACAATGTTATACCATGTGTATACCATACACAATGTGTATATATAAGTTCAAAGCCTTCCTTTTAAAGTCTAGCAAGTTTCTTAAGTCCTTCTTTCTCATTAGCTTAATTGAAGAGCAAGTAGTAAAGGTGATCCATACAAAAGTTCTGACATCAGGCCAGAACTCTCTAAAGACTGTATTTCACTATTTGAGAACTCTTCCCCAGGAATTTTCCAACCCACCCCAGTTTTCGTGTTTCAGTAATTATAAGGGCTGGTTCAAAACTGCAACAACCATTACAAATAAATCTCACTACACATGAACCATAATCTGCAACGTGAAACTATCTGTGTGCTGGTTATTTCAGTCAAATTCAAAGAAAATACATTAGATGTAATGATATTGCCCAGGCAAAATACCTGCACTAAGTGTATTGAAATCTATGAACTCTTACTATTTCAGTGAATGCATGATCAAATTTAGAGTCAATTCACTTATGAAGCTTACTCGAATGTAAACCTTCAGGCAGACATTTGTCTTTGTAAGAGTTTGACACTGTGGGACTTCTTATCTCAAAAAAAGTCACTGAGAGCTACCATAATATACGTATTTGTTGCTAATATACTAGTACTATTACATGAGTGTATGTATTTCATCCTATAACATCCTGGGCTGCTTTATCTTTTTTTATTGTCTAACTCCTACACTAAACCATGAGAGAAAAACGAGCCTTACAGCTTGCATACTTGATAAGGACTTTAGAAATACACATTTAAATGCCAGGCATTGTTACAGATTCTGCAGGTGGGGCTTAGCTAGCAACTTAACTGCCATGAGTTGGATTTTGAAAAATGGTAAGGCTTCAAAGAAAAAAAGGCTATTTTATGTTTAATGGAATTTTTCATATGCAATACCTTTTGTTAGAGGTATTACTTGCATTGATTTCAGTTTTGAAAATCCCATTAGGAAAAATACGCCTTTTTAGGAACCGAATTCTTTTGCTTTTGAACACCACTTAATCTGACACTTAACCCTACAAGGCCCTGCTGTTCTAGTTTAATTGGAGATCAGACAGTTTGTTTCAGAGAGAAATGGATATGTTGCTGGTGATGTTTGCATGCGAATGTGCATCTACACAGAGGTCCTTCCACAGAAGTCTGAAAAAGCCTTCCTATTAATGTAACTGTGTGAGGTTTGCATTAGAAGTGTTCATGCACAATGTAGGTCAAGCTCTGCTTTCAGGCACACCACTGTCATTTTGGAGATTGAAAGGAATTTAATTATTTCACTAGTGTGAGAAAAGGCTGTATTGTGTATATTTCCTGATGTATTATCTTGTTGTATTATTGAAATGAAAGAAGGTGTTGCTCCTAGTACTTTCCTCAGCACAATAGGAAGACAATCCTGATTGTCTTTTCAATCTGGTGTTGACCCTGAAAGCAGGTTCAGCTTATTAAAAATTTTGAGGCACTGTCAATCTTTTCTTAAAGAGTATATTGGGCTATCCTTCATTTTATGATAATATCTGGCAGTTTTCTGTACAATTATACAGATTCTTTGCAAGGTGTTTCAGAGTGAGAGTCCATGCTTTCGACATACATTTGCCACATTTCTCACCTAACATTGCTTTAAGTGAGAGCATAGTTTATTTGTGATCTCTAAGGAGAAAGCATATAATGGAAATACATTGTAAATTGAAAGACATAAAAAAATGTTCAACCTTAATAGTAACTGCACACCACTTTACTGCCAAGGGCCAAGTTACCCAAAGGCACTTAATAAAACAGATGATCTGAAGCTGACATTGCAGGCAGACTTATGGCTTATCTCCAGGTTAATGTGATGCTATTGGCCTGTGTTTGAAATCATGGCTGACAACAGTGTCAGTGAATCCTCTGCCAAGGCAACGAACAGGTTTTACTTTAGTACCTTTTTCAGTCTAACGATGATTACTGAGATTTCCTACTTAGTTTAAGAAAACACATAGAACTGTAAAGTAAAATAGACATCTCATAAAACATCCAATGAAATGTGATTTCCTAAGAAAAATAACTGTTGAGCAGAACTGCAGTTAGTATTTCTCATACACTCTCTGAATGCTTCCTCAAACAGAAATTTGTCTGTGCTGTTCTTCTGGAGTGGTCATTGTAATTTTCTTTTATGGGACTATGGAAGACCAGAGTAACTTTTTTTTTTAGGTGTTAACAAAGACAATATATAAGATAATAGACAGGCTCATTCAGAAACATCAGAATTTTTCCTTGTCTCTATAGGAGACTGAGGTCCTTTGTGATCTGATTTCATGGTTCCCTGATTTTCTGATTTCTTAGTTAGGACTGTGACATATTAATATGTTTACTATGTGCCAAAAAAGCATTGTGACTAGAATTCAACAGTAAAATGGAAATGTTAAAAACAATGATGTGCACACCCAAACCTCAGGAATATTTAAGCTTCACTGTGGAGAAACTAATTTTTTTTTACTTTTTTCTTCCCCCAACCTCGAAACTCAAGGAGCATATCAAAGATTTCATTAGATTCTGCATTATGCTTGCTGCTAGTTGGGCCATGCTGCACACACTGCTGAATCACCACATGGCATATTGTTGTAGGGGTTTCTGTGTATTAAACTAGATAATACAAGACTAATTCTATTGTCACTTCTCTTTTCCTGTACAGACATATTTGTTTCTTTTCTGAAAATGTGGTTGCTACTGCATCTCGATTACTTTTATGAGAATGAAATTTAATAAATATTCTTTTGTTTCTACCATTTACTTTTAACCAACATGAAGCAGCCATACTTGTCCATAATTAAAGGCAACTTAAGTCAAGGGTCTTTCTGATGTATGTACAGAAAAGGAAGAGTGTTATTGGTTCCCTTTCCACCTAGTATTTTAAGTTAAGTTAAGTAAGTATTTTAAGCTTTGGTTTTCTTCTTATATTAAATCAATGTAACAATGATTTTTTATGCTGTTGTTTCTTTCCTTCCCCAGATGTACATCCAGACAACAACACTTACTGTCTCTATGAGTTTAAGCGCTTCTGTGTCTCTGGGCATGCTCTATATGCCCAAGGTTTATATCATCATCTTCCATCCAGAGCAGAATGTTCAAAAACGGAAGCGGAGCTTCAAGGCTGTAGTGACAGCTGCCACAATGCAAAGCAAACTGACCCAAAAAGGAAATGACAGACCAAATGGCGAGGTCAAAACTGAACTGTGTGAAAGTCTTGAAACCAACAGTAAGTCATCTGTAGACTTTCCCATGGTCAAGAGTGGCAGCACATCATAATAGATGTACGTTCACAAGAATGCACTTTCTTTAAATAATAAACTTTATTCTTTTTGTTACTTATTCTTCATGAGTCCAGAGATGTGTCAGAATTCATGTACTACTGAATGCAGGAATG